TTTTCGCTGGGACGGTCTGTAGCAGCGGCTGTGCACAGCAAGCCGCCACCGCCCGCGGCGCCCCAGCCCCACAGTCTGGTTCAGGAGGTCGGAGGAGGGGCACAGGCATCTGCGTTTCTAACCAGTTCAAGTGCGGGTGACACAACCAAACCTCGCGAGCCACGGCGAACCACCAGGTCACCGGTGTACCAGTGCGCGTGCACGAGCTTCCCTTCACGACAAGCAAGACTAAGGGGGAACTGCTGAGGAAGAACAAATGACTCCTTTTTTTTACCCAAATACTGACTTTCCCTGCCTGAGTGAAGGTTAAGTGACCTGTCGCTCAAAACATTCCTCTGAACAGCAATGTCGCAGCGAAAGGCTCCAGGCCCGTGACGGGAAGGCTGGCGCGCTGCGGAACTGACAGTGTCCGGAAGCTGCATTTCTGAAGATGGTTTCAGGGCAGAATGTAAAACCCTTGTAAAGTACGTGATGAATCCAACTGATTAGTAAAAGACACATTACAGCCCCCAGACCAGTCATCAAGGATCCTGCGTGAATCCCACTCATCTTGTGCCGCCCTGAGCAACTTCCGATGTCTTCAGAACACAGAATGAGTCCTAACGAACACAGGACCATCTCCTACAAAATCAATTTCTAGGAAAAAAAACATGTGAGAACTGTAAAGGGACAAAGAAATGTTTTTTCCCCCAGCTCAAGACACAAATACGGAATGCATAAAATCATTTCAGCTCGCTCTTCCGTCCATCAAAGACAAGCACATGGTGCTTTGGTCACAAGTAGACCCCACAAGCCCCAACCATTCACAGCAGAATCCAAGGCGCCAGATGGCACGACTTTCAAGATAGAATATGGAGGCAGAAAGGAGATCCTAGGCACAGACAGCCAAAGATATAACTTTTTAGGTTCTTCTGAGCCTTGGTTTTGGTCCACTGGCCCCAGACAAAGGAGTACAGAGTAGGTCAAGTCTTAAAAGCATGACGGAAAATTCTAAATCAGAGAATGAGCACATCCACTTCAGAAACATTTACAGAGCAGCAATGTGTTAGAGATCATAAATTCTAGGATGTACTACAAGGGGATTAAACCTGAATGATAATGTACAATTCACTTTTCCCTCACATTAGTCCTTGCTTCCCATGAAACTAGATTCCTAAACACTGACATCCCCCCCAGAAAAATCACCAACAAAACAACTCTAGATGTAGAGGTCACGACAGCACAACCTTTAACAATAAGAAGCATCGACCACCGCCCTATGCATTACATATTTTTATTTAACAATTTGAGTAGATTTAAAATAATTAAACAATTTTGGTATGTCCATGAAAGTGTCTACCTACACCACGCTGGCCTCATCATAGCTTCATGATATGAAAGTGTCAGACTCAAACAGAAAACATAGTAATTTAAACTTTCCCAGACACGGTAATTACGCTTGCACGCGACTCACCCCCCCCCCTTCAGAAGATCAGTGAGACGACTGCTTCCCTAGTCCTGCCTAGTCCTAGAAGCTGCACAGAAAGTTCAGCCGGTCGGGCCAACCAGGATCTGTCCCTTGCGGGCCAAGCCTGTCCCCACGGCCAGCTCCTCTAACTCCACACGGCCAGTGTTTCATCTGTAAAATGAGGACAGAAATAGCACAACTCAATGGTTTTCATGAGGAACAGAGAGCACGCAGTGAGAGCACTCAGCTCAGGTCTGGCACGTTTCATCTCCCGGATTTAATTCGTCGGGAAAAAGGCAGGAACTCCTACCGACAACACACAGTACCCACACCGGACCCAGTAACATTACATCCCTTCCCCATCAGTGGGTAACATTCCCAGGTATAACTTTAGTCACTTTTCTTGTTCTGAAAAGTGAGTTTACAGTAAGTAGCAATGTACATCAATAAGATCTAGGCAGGATTACTTTAATTAAATACAAAGTTCTCAAGGAAACAGCTTCAGGTCCTGACAAATAAGGAAACTTTGAGGTGATGCTACTAGATTCCTCCTTGGAAATGTTCAACTGCTAAAAAGTGGCGATAGTGCCACTCATGCGAAAACATCTATTTCATACTTTCCTCTAAAAACCATTTCATCTTTGTTTAGGCAAATCAGACCATAATTAACAGCATTTGCTAAAAATCCCACCTATCCTGAAAGATATGCCTATCTGAATTTTATTTCCATGATAGAGCCTAGCAAAAACACCAAAACACCTGTTATAGACAGGAAGAGAGGGGGTTCTTCTGCTACTTTATTATCAGAAACACATTTATTTATGTAGTTCTGAATGGTAAGACTTGGCACAATTCCTAGAAATGCCAGAAAGTGGTAGATAGGAATTTCATTTCTCCTACACGAAGTTGCCTTTTGGTAGTCATGAAATGAAGGGGGGGAAAAAAAACCCTTGCCAAAATCTTAGTAAAGAGAAAAGGCATCAACAGTTCAAATAATCCACTACTAAACGTGGTTTTCAGCACAGACATAAAAAACAACTTCCTAATGTAGCCGGCTGGGGCAGCGGAACACAGGTACGCCCAAACAGGAGCCGGAACCACTCTCATCCTTTTCCACCAAGGACCGTTCTAAGGACACAGATGCAATTTCATATGTGAATGCTTACTGCATTCACAAACTTCCTGGAGTTTATTACTACTGACTCAAATAAGGTCATTTACTTGGCCCAAGTTTTTAAAATTTGCATTTTAAATAACATACAGGCATCTGTAAAAATTCTCAAAGACCCCACAGCAGTATTTTGCTAATTATTTAAGAGATTTTTAGTAAGGAGATACAGTAATGAAAATAAGTTCTTAAGCTAGAACTTTAAGGCAAAAGAAACTACTACAGAAACTAAACTTTACTCATTTATAAGCCAAAAAAACTGATTTCACAAATGACAAAAGTAATTTAACTTTTAATTATACTAAAATTTAAAACAAGATTTTAGCTGAAAACTAAACTGACAATGTTCAATTTCAAAAGTTAAAGATTTACACATTAAGACTCTGAATCTCATCTTTTGTTATGTCACCCTTAAGACAATTATTTTCTCAAAACTAAGACACTTAAAAATACAGAAAAACAGGTTTCCATAAAATCTTTATAGAGAAGTGAACTAAGATCCTACTTCTCTAACTCAAAACTAACAACCAGTAAAGACTCGTAATTTTCAAAACTATTCTTTACTACACTATAGTGTATATACTGTACACAGAATATACTGTAATCTTTTCTGTGGGAACTAATCAGTATTTTTTTTTAAAGGGGATACCTTTAACAATACAATTCTGTTATTTAGACAACTTCTCCAACTTCCTAGTGAGAAAAGTTCTGTGATTTGCTGAAGAACCCAATTTTAAGAATTGGGACATCGAGTTGTCATTTCCAGCCATGGGCGTGGAGCACTGAAGAAAGGATGTGAGTTAGAAGTGTTTTAACCATCCTCACTGCAGCTCCTAACTTCTGGTCTCCCCGGACACCCCAACACCATCACCCTCATGGGGCCTCACTCCTAATCTAACACAACACACCTTCAGCAGACCGCCCCAACCTTAAATACGACGTTTTGCATTCAATGCTTTATTTATCCAAGGACTTGCTTCCTGATGCGTCAGCGCCTCTGAACAACGTGCAGGTCCCTCTAGTGAGTGCATATACTCAAGTGTCAGGTGGGTTACGGGACCCTTTAAGCAAGAGCAAGGAATTTTAAACAATCTCTTCCCAGTTTTCACTATTAAAGTGGATTATTTAATAATCACCGGAAAGATACGACTCAGAATTAGGCATAGTTGATCTTGCTGCTTCCACAACAGTTAGTACAGTGAAGTACTCAAGACGCTAGCGGTAGGCCAAGTTAGTACATCCCCTCCAAGCACAGCCACACAGAAATCAGTGTACTCCTAAAGACACCGGATCAGGGCGCCTGGGTGGCTCAGTGGGTTAGGCCTCTGTGTCAGCTCAGGTCATGATCTCAGGGTCCTGGGATGGAGCCCCGCCATCGGGCTCTCTGCTCAGTGGGGAGCCTGCTTCCTCCTCTCTCTCTGCCTGCCTCTGCCTACTTGTGATCTGTCAAATAAATTAAAAAAAAAAAAAAAGACCCCGGAACACAAACTTTAAAAGTTTCGTGGGTATAAATATTGCAGGACGTTAAAAATGATCTCCCAAGGGCAGATGCACGAAAAAATTACCTATGCTGTACCCCGACAAAAGCAAGGTGAATCCTAACTCCGAATGCACCTTCCGATCGCTCGGCCGCCGGCCGGGTTCCCAGAGACGCACACCTGACCAGCGCTCACAGACTCCTCACGGCCCGTTTTACAGATCACTTATGGGGGGCCGGGGGGCTCTGCATTTCATTTCGAGCAGTAGCGGCCCATCTCCACAACCGTGACAGCGCTGACGTTCCACGTAAGATCCCGGCAAGGGTCGTCTGGCCTGCGGACCCCTAAACTCTCACGCGCCCGCAGCGAGGGCGCATGTCCCCGTTCCCGGCCACTACAGTGTCACTATTATCCCAGGCTCCCGGCCGGACCCCAGCTGCAGGCGGGCCGTGCCAGAGCGACACAGTGTTGAAACGACTCAAAAGAAATGTCTTCTTGCCCTCGGTGCTCTAAGCGAGATCCCGCAGTTAAATAAAAGCAAGTCACACGCGCGCACACGCACACGCACACGCACACACACCCTCCCCGGAGAAAGAAAGGACTGAGAAAGGGACAGCGGGTCGTCCCCGCGCCGAAGCCGGCAGCGGGGCCGGGGGCTGGTCGGCCGGAGCGGAAACTTGGGAGGCACAATGAGTCCACGAGGTCCCCGCGGCCGCCGCCGGACAGCCCCGGGCCCAGTGAGTTGAGCGCCCGCAGCGGGGAAGCGCCCGGCCCGGCCCCGGGTTCGAGGCTCGCCCTCGCCTGCCCGAGGGCCAGGGAGTCCGCATCCCGGGTCCGGGCGATCCCCGGGGTCCCCAAGGATTTCCCTCCACCTCCTCCTCCCTCTCTCCCCCCTTTTGTTTTTGAGGCAATCGGCCCAATCCCGAGGCGGCGGCCGGCCCCCCCAAGCCCCAGCCCCGCAAGCCCCGGCCTCCCGCAAGCCCCGGCCTCGAGCCCCCGCCTCTCCGACTCCCCGAATGCACCGCCCTCCCCGCGCCCCCCGGGCCTTCTCCGGTCCCCTCGTCCCTCCGTTTACCCGGGCCCCGGCCTCCCCTCAGGCCGGCCTCCACCCTCGCCGTCCTCCCAGAACCCGCCCCCTCGCCGTCCCCGTCCCCGGCCTCCCCGGGGCCGCCGGGCTCCCCACAGCCTCCTCCGCCCGCGTCCCCGGCCGGCCTGCACCCCGGCCCTCCCCACAGCGCCAGCCGCCCGGGCCCCTCCCTCAGCCTCCCCACGTCCTCGGCCTCCCGAGCCGCGCGCGGGAGGGGCCCGTCTCCGCCGCACCCGCCGCCCGGGCCGGCTGCTCGGCGCCGCTCGGCCCTCCGCCCGCCGGCCGCGGCCCTGCCAAGCCCCAGAGCCGGGAGGCGACCCGCCCGCCCGCGCCCCGGCCCCCACCCCGGCCCCGCACTCACTCGGACCGCGCTGGCGCCGGGACGCGAGGGCAGACACTGCGAGGCTGCGCGGCGGACGCACGGGCGGCGTCTCCTCCCACACCTCACG